CGGTTGGTCACCAAGAACCATACCTTAGTAGCGTATGCTTCAACTTCAACAGTAACACTAATGACCCCAAGGACACTGTTATTATAAAAGAGAGACACACAAAGAACTTCATATTGTTGCATGGAGGCCTTTTTGGCTACCGAGACGAGAGACTTGCATCTAAAAGGGCCATCACCCAAAAAACGGTCTTCCCAGCTACACTTCCACTTAACTACAGCAGATGGCAGTGTCGCTGTTGACTGTCCTTCATCGGTTCCAGTCCCACTGAAGAAGAAGAACCAGCCCTCCGTGAAGCTAACAGCTAACACCCGTGAAGTAAAAAGGGATGAAAGGTTATGAAGGCCGGCTCATGCGACAGGCAAACCAGGTTAAAGTAGCGGCTCGGCGTGCGGAGCTATGGAGAAAAGCTTCGCTCAGTGGAAAAAGCAGTGCCTGAACAAAGCGGACCTGAGTAAGAAGGGCGCCGTGGACGAGGCCATCGAGCACGTCGTGTCTCTGCTCAACAGCCGGGAGGAGTACTTCACCACCAGCTCCTGCTCTGGGAGAGTCATCCTCATCGACGGGGTGAGTCTCACACACTTTTATTATAGAGGGATGTTTATGACAAATAGCTGGGAGAAAACGATTGCCTTCACATTTTATTTCTGTAATACCTCTGAACTGAAATCAGCTGAAACATGAAGCTGCAGAGGTTGTGCTGTCAGCGGTCGGAGAAGAGGAGCAGTTCTTGGAATCATTTAAAGGCTCCGGTTGATCTGATCTGGTTGCCGTAGTTTGCAGACTGTGTGACTTGTGACTGATTGTCAGCACATCGTCAGCTGTAGAGGTGAAAGTGTCTGACCTGATCGCTGTTGCAGTGCTGCAGACTGGTTCAAGGTGCAACACTCTGGGAGGCGTTCATCATTATCGTTGTTGGGCTTTCTCCACTGTGACGTATTCAACATCCCTTTTGTTTTGCTGTCTTGGTTTCATGTTCTCTGGTGTTTTCTTAAGTTGCAGTTTGTTTGACAGCAAACCACATCCTGACTGCTGTCGGAGCAAACAAACAAAAACCATGGAAATCTCTACTGAAACATGACAGTTGTCCCCCCTCTCTAGGCTCCAGAGAGCAGTGCTGTCCAGAAACAGAACTGTGCCTGGCTGTTTGTCTCACATCACAAGTGTACCTCAGAGGACCTGGTGAGACTCGTGGTGTCCTGATGATTAATACCCGTCATGGCTGAATGTGCTGTTTTATCACATGCCTGTGTGTGTTTTCTAGCTGTCTGCTCTGGCTGGGTGCTCCGGTGATGCTGTGTTGAAGTTTGAGCCCTTTGTACTCCATGTTCAGTGCCGACGGCTGGAAGACGCACAGCTGATGGTGAGTCTTTCTTAGGAGAAACAAATAATTTGTCACATTTTCTGGTTAGTTATCTCTCAAAGGCAGCTCTGCTAATCTTTTAGGCTTGAACGTGACCCTTGCTTATGCTTGGTGACTTGTTTCTGCCGTTCATATATGTCAGTGACTCTGCAAACATTTAAGAAGCACAACACCGACAGGAGTCAAGATCTTTACTGACATGAATTCAATTCAATTTTATTTATATATCGCCAAATCACAACAAAAGTCGCCTCAAGGCGCTTCATAGATACAGAGAAAAACCCAACAATCATATGACCCCCTATGAGCAGCACTTTGGCGACAGTGGGAAGGAA